GCTTTACAATTTTCGCGAGTCGCAAGCCACCGCCTTTTTGTCGCCGAGACCATCGTTATGGTTCATTCAATTTTATGCGCAGTTGAGTCACATTACTGCCGACGAAACTCAATTTTATACAGCGATCGCCACGTTAGAATTCAGAGGAGGTATTGCAATCAGCTCGTGAAATAAGTTCTGAATCTCACCAGCGACAGACAAATACAAATCTTTAAAAAAAAAAAAAATTATTTCTGTTTATAAAGAATCCGAGACAGTTAAAATCAAGCTGCTATTGCACGATTTACAGTTGGGTGATATGAGGCCTTCTCATTTCGCTGTCTAAAATGTAAAATGACTTAGCCGCCGGTAACCTAACAGATAACATTCTTAAAACAATTATGGTATGAATAGACTCCCATCTAACATGCAAACCATTTTAGCAGTCCAGTAGCGAGCCACTTAAAACTTCTTCCCGAAACCGCTGATAAAATTCATGAGCTGGCCATTCCAGCTGCAAATAACATGCAGTGCAGGCCTCCTGGTCCAGGTATTGTGGCATTACAGGCTCAAATTGATGATCTGTCCAAACAGGTTGCTCAGTTAGTAGCCATCCAAGCTGGCGAAACATTTCAGCGCAACCGCTCCACATCACGTGGTCGAAATACACGTCGTAGCCCACTGAGGAAACGTTATGAAAGCCGGGTATTCATAACCCGAGTATTTGTTTTTAACCACCACAAATTTGGAAACAAGGCAAACAAATGCCGCCCACCGTGTCGTTATAAACGACCAGGGAAGTTGCTCGAAGTTGTGAACGACAGCGGCCGGAATTTTTTCACGCCTTTTTCGTTATCGAAAAGAATTCGGACTTGAGGTTTCTTGTAGACACCGGGGCTGATGTTTCTGTCCTTCCACCACATTTTCACGAACAAAAGCGCCTTACCAACTTACAACTTTATGTAGCAAATGGAACTCCTATTCAAACTTTTGATGAACGCCTGATATCTGTTAATTTAGAATTGCGCCGCAACATCCAATGGCCATTCATTATTGCTACTGTTTCAAGTCCTATTAGTGGCGCTGACGTTTTTCAAAAATTTTCTGCTTGTCGATCTTAAGAATCACCGTTTGATATATTCCGAGAGTAATTCGCATTAGTCAAGATTTGAGCATTAAACTGATTTCGGGTAACTCCCCATGGCATCAACTCCTCAGAGAATTCCCTACAAACACGCGCCCAGTTATAGGTATTTTCGAACCCAAGCACGATGTACTACATTATATTGAAACTACCGAACCTCCAATTGCAGCTAACCAAGACGCTTACCTCCGGACAAGCTTAAAGCTGCCAAAGAAGAATTTCAATACATGATAGAACAGGGAATTTTGCCGTCCTTCAAAAAGTTCATGGGCTCTATCTAATTCGGAAACGAAATGGTAACTGACGCCCGTGTGGCCATTATCGTCGGTTAATGCAGCTACAATTCCTGATCGTTACCCAGTCTCTCACATTCAAGACTGTATGCAGTTTCAGAGGAAGAGTATTTTTACAACCCTTGATCTTGGGCGGGCGTATCACCAATTGCCCGTTAACCCGCTGATATTCCGAAAACTGCGGTATTACGACTTTTGGACCATTGAGTTTCGGGTCATGACTTTAGGCTTATGCAATGTGCTCAAAACGTTCCAACGCTCATGAATCAGATGTTAATCGGCTTCGACTTTGTGTACCTTATTTTGATGATGTCTTAATCGCCTCCTCTTCAGAGCAAGAACACCTACCACATTGAGAACAGTTTTGAACGTTTTCAAAGGTACGGTGTCGGTCTTAATCCTTCTAAATGCGTTTTTGGCCAACCGAGAGTATCCTTTCTTGGTCATGAAACTTCCGCTGATGGTGTTCGACCGCTTCCAGACAGTCACCGCTATCCCCGATTATACCCGTACCATCTTCAGTGAAGGACTTAAGATCTTGCTATGCTCAATTTTATCAACGTTTCTTACCTTATGCAGCGACCATACAAGCTCCTCTAAATTCTTTTTTTATTTGAAGCAAGAAAAAAACGATAAACGTGTTACATAACCTGGACCACAGAATCCCGCGAAGTGTTCCAAAAATGCAAAAATGATTTAATTTCGGCAAACAAATTTTGCAGTATCCTTCCGCATCTAAATATTATCCTCTACGTTTATAAGGTATTTTTCCCTCTTTCCTAGCCGGCCTTCGGGGTGTAGTGGTTCTGCACGCTGGGCCGGTACTCCAGAGGTCCGCGTTTCGATTCCCGGCGAAGGCGTAGCATATTTTTCATATCCTCTGCTTCCCAAAAATAACCTAATGTCTCTCCACGTTGACGTTGCTCAGCGTGGATCAACAACAGCTATAGGAGCAGTTTTACAACAGAAAGATCAAGAATTATGGAGACCACTTTCACATTTTTCTAAAAAAAACTTTCACCAGCACAAACCGGATACAGCACTCACGATCATGAATTGTTAGGAGTTTATGAAGCTGTCAAATATTTTCGACATATGCTAGAGGAACGCGTTTTCATGATCGTAACAGATCACAAACCCTTAACCTATGCTTTTCAACAGCGTTAGGATAAAAGCTCTCCTCGTCAAATGAGACACCTAGAACTTCATAGGGCAATTTTCAAAAGATATCCGTTATATTGAGGGTTCGCAGAATATTGTTGCAGACACCTTGTCTCGTATTGAAACAACTAGCCCGTTCCTTCGCGAATAAACTTTGCTGCCCTTGCGGATGAACAACACCTGGATTCAGAACTACAGGTTTTCTCTTGAGAGGGTTTCTCTTGAAAAGCATATCTTCCATCAATTTGTCATTACTTCATCAAAGTCTTGAAAAGCAAATTTATCATTACTTCATCAAAGTCGGTCATTTAAAATTTTTCTTCCTTCCACACTTAAAAATGCTAGATGGCTTAGGGGATCTTGTCCTACTGTTGATTGTAAATATATCAAAATTTATTGTAATTTGCTGAAAAAAAGTTCATAGCTAGCATTTGGTAATGAAATAGTAAGTAGTATTTGATGTGCTACTCTTTGGTTTGGAAAAACATTTTCTCCTATAGCTCTGTAAGTGGAGTTTTAGGTTCCAGTTTCTTTTCTACTGCGGAGTATAACATCTTACAGTCACATTCACTGCTCAAAAGAACTAGGGGACATTGCGAGTTCGGTATTAAATAACCATATAATCGACAATCGTTTTTTTAACAAAAGGCAATATAAGAGATTATAAACTAAAATTATAACGTTTGCAAAGTTGGGAATATGCAAATTTAGTCTGTGACGTCAGAAACTAAGAAACTATGCGTTTTAGATAAGGAGTAAGGAGTGACAAGCGCGACCTGCAGCATTCCTTTTGTAGTAGGAGATTTAAAAACAATTGAAAAGTGGTGTGGTGTGTATTTAATTATGGCAAAGCACACTAGGGCTATCTGCCTAAGAGGAGGGATGCCTTCGTGGAGGACTTTCTAAGGGGAAACTGGCTCGTATACACGTTACACATGGGGGAAAACCACGAAAACACCCCCATGTAGCCAGCCCGTTCGCGGGATTCGAACTCGGACCGAACTACCAGTGTTCAGCGACTTTACCGCTCGGCCGTGGTGGGCAACAATTGAAAAAGAGTGACTTGTTTGTAGCAGTCAGTCCGATGTTTTAGCAAGATGACTTAGTTGAATCGGTAGACTGGAAGGCCATCAGTCGTTTACAGGAGAGTCAAACGCAATCCATTGTAGCGGAAGCGTTAGGATTTTCAAAAAATGTTATTTCCAGATTATGGAATCGGATTTTGGAAACTGGATATGTTTGAGAAATTCGGGACAAGGTCGTGTTTATCGTTTTTTAAAATAAAAAGCGGGAGATATACGTGCATTTCGTTTAAAAAAATAAAAATATATCTCTACTTTGGAGAAATAAAATGGTCAGAAAGAACGTTTTGGTTGATGTACTGCAAACATTTTATTACACATCTTATCAGACAATCAAAGAAGAAAATAAATAATTAATTATATTACAATAGTTATTAATTTTAAATATTTTCCAGAAATCGATCAAAATAAAAACTGAAATTTTCCGGAAAGTATTGTTTGGAAACCATTTGGCGCCCCTCTAGGAGCAGCGCCCGGGGCATCATGCACCCCCTTGCCCCCCCGTCGCTACGCCACTGCTCGAACACAAGCCAAAAGCGACATAAACCCTGCTGCTACCCGGAGAATCAGTCAGAGCGGGGTCTAGCGAGTTGGTAGTTAGAGGCAGTCGAGTGAGCTGAGAGTCAGTCAAAGAGCGCCGAGTCGAGTCAACTAAGAGTCAGTGAGCGAGTGTCCTGTAGTCTAGTGCCCAGTTGGTCGTCGAGTGCATCGAGAGAGTCTCTTATACCGAGCAGAGTCGAGAGCTGTACTCTGGTGCTTTGCCGTGAAGCTGTCTTCACCGTTATAGCCTGATATCCTGAAGGCTGTGTCGTTGATTGTTTCAGCGTGTTTATAGTAGTTTTTCGACGATTGTAAACGTGACTTTGGAGCTGTCTTTTAATAATACAGGCTATTAAATTATGTTTCCATTCTTCATCAAGTGCTGTTGTCGTTATTCACTCCAAATCCAGAACCCTTAACGTGAAGGGAAATTAAAAAACGTACAATATATTTCATAAGTTATATCAGAGTTCTGACTTTTACCAGAGTAGCTGTTTTATCAGCGAAGAGCGCTGCTTGAGACTTAAGGATGTTCTGGTAATTGTGAGTGTTGTAAGGATTATATAGGTTCTATAACAGTGGTCTTTGAATATTCATTTTACTTGTAAGTTAAGATAGCAAAGTAAAGCCTAATCATACAAAGTTGCCAAAAATATTTAAAAAAGTCACGTATTGCATGAAAATAAAAAAAAAAAAAAATCCCAGAAAAGCTGATATACTTAACCTAGCAATAAAAAGAAAAAAAATGCGGTCATATAATTGGCAAACAAACTAAAGAAACTCAAAATTTTAGAATTTTAGAACATAATTTATTTGTAAATTAAAAAAGTGGAAAAGAGCACATTAGCAGACAAACGCACACAGGAATAATAGTTTTACATAAAAATTAGAAAATAAATCATAATACTTTAAAAAGAAAATGAGAAGGCTTCATAAATTATAACTGCTGACAGTGGCAAATCATTAAATTGCAAAACAATATTAGTCTGTTTCTGATTCTAAATGAATCGTTTACATGTAAGATAATGGGGAAAAAACATATAAAATGAAAGAATGTTTCATGAAGGAACTACCAGTTTTCAAACTACTAAATGGAAACACATTTTGTTTATAAATAAAATCCGAAATAATAAATATAAAATAAATAAAATTGTGCTTTTCTTTTCCTTTCTGCATCGTCTTCAACTATAGAATCTGGCTTCCCGGTAAGGTGCTATGATGTCCACATTCGGTTTCTTCAAATCCTCAGGAAAGACCGAGATTTTTGGAGGCTGCCTACAGCTTTGATCAGCAAATATTGTCTTAATCTTGTGAGGGATTATTGGCTCATCTTTCCCACAAAAGACAACTCTGTGTTTAGAAAAATAGTAACGCAAATGAAAACATAGTACATATATATGTGTAAGTATATATATATATATATGAATGTCAAACTATTGCTCTCTTTTCTACTTTTAATAGCTTACTGTTAAAGTGTTAATAATTTCTGTACCATAAATGAGAATTACTACAGTATACAGCAAGAAAGACAACAAACATTTTTAAAAAAATTGTTTTGATGAATTTACATAGTGTAGAAATATGATTAATATATGTATTTTTAAATTACGGATTTACTTGATAAAATTTCATCCTGTTGACTTTTAGTAACAATATATCCATTATATAATATCGTACCTTACTATTTTCAATATATGGCTCTCATTTAGATCTATCAGTTAACAGGTCAAACCTATCCCCGTGGAAGATCAATTGTCTATAACTTTTAAACGAATTTATGCTTATGCATTCTCTTATTCCTGTGAAGAATAGATGTAACTTACATTACACACTGGTTTCCATATATTAAGAAAAAAATCACAAAAATAGCAATAACTCATTCAAAAAATACGCCAGCTGGTATGAAATTTCAGTATGTTGTTAAATAAAATTTCCTGAACAAAGCGATAACAAGCATAATAGTGGTGCTGAGATTTAACTATGTCATATGCGAGGGAAAAAATGCCCGTTGTTATTCACTAAAATCCATTCTCAAAAATGCGCATTTGAGAGTAATTCTGCAAGTTATGATAGTGAGTGTGATAGTGAGAAAAGAAACCTGGGACAGCTTGTTCGTTATAATAAGGCATTGTCTGCAGGAAGAAATACAACGGAAAGCCACTCAGAAATTAAAGGCAGGCCCAAATAAAGAAAGGTAGCCAGATATTTAAATGAGTGTCCTTCTGTAGTTCATAGACTTCTGCAAGAATTTCAAACCGCACTCCACGCATCCAAAATGTTCAAGCAAGGAACGGTCAAATAGAGATAACTGATATTTGCGGTTATTCCACACGAAGGAATAGATTCCGAATCCTAAACCAACTTCATTCCTTCCTTACAGGAGTCAATGTCTACTGTCTGAGAAAGACTTCACCAAGGTAATATTTACGCGATGCGACCAACCACTTTATGTGTTGCTTACCTGAAGTCACAGGAGGGAGCCTATAAGTGGCATGCCAATATGTCCACTGGACAGCTAAAATCAATAGAAAGCTGTTCTTTTCGCGGATGATATCGGCTTAGCTCCGAAGCGGTATTAGATAAGTTCTCGAACATAAGCATGGGAAAATAAAATGGCAAGGGAAGAGAGGGTTGCCACATTTGGCGAGAAATCGTCCATTTGGCGACAAAATTGGCGATATGCCATAGACGGATGGAGGACCTTCTGGAACGAATTCTTACTACTTGGCCCAGAATGTTCTCGAACATAAGCCAAAAGCGACATAAACCCTGCTGCTACGCGGAGAATCAATCAGAGCGGAGTCTAGCGAGTTAGTAGTTAGAGGCAGTCGAGTGACCTGAGAGTCAGTCAGAGAGCGCCGAGTCGAGTCGGCTAAGAGTCAGTGAGCGAGTGTCCTGTAGTCTAGTGCACAGTGGTCGTCGAGTGCATCGAGAGAGTCTCTTATACCGAGCAGAGTCGAGAGCTGTACTCTGGTGCTTGTCAGATTTGAATAGAAAAAGGAACCCGTTATCATTTTATCATTCATTAAAATCCATAAAAGAGATTCACACAGAGAAGGCAGCATCTGCATTTGCATAATTTTTGTATAAATAGGCACACAGTACTTGTATATCTTCCTACGTGGAATCGTGAATGCTTATTTACAGAAATAATATCCCTAATTTTTATGTACATCTATATGATACTGCAGTTGCTGATGATTTCATTCTGCAAGATGACAACGCGAATCCAATCAGGATTCGTGTCGTAAAAGATTAAGCTCAGCGATTTACAACCACTTTGCAAGAATAGTGTTTTTATTTGCTATCGGCTTCACAGACTGCGTAACTGATAGCATCATATATCACTATTCGTTGTCAAATATAAATTACTCTTTTCCTGTTTGAAGATAAAGTTCATTTGTTTTCTGTAGTTCTGACGTGCTGGTAAATACACCACACTGACGATAACAATTGCGAACTTTAACTGTGATACCATCATTTCACATACCAGTAGATTCTGATCTTGTTTATGTAATATTCATATTGTTGACACATTAATTTTAATATAAAATCTGTCGTTTAACTACATTTTTTGCGCTTTTACGTCATTAGCGATGCAAATAGCAATAGTGATCGTGAGACTAGCATATTGAAAAGTAAGAGGGAATGAGAGATTCAGGGAATAGCCAATTTAGTGGAAGAAAAATTCACAGGTTGGCTCAAAAGCTAACATTCCAGTTTAAAACATTAACGACAGAGAAGAAAGGCTTTCCATACAATTAGCATGCAAAGGTAATTTTAAAAATCACTAGAAAATGTGTGTTATGCGCAAAGTTATCTAACTTTTTCTGATCAATATAAAAACCTAGTCAAATTACCTCCTTTGATGTTAATCTTAATAATTATGAAGGCTAGATATTTTGTAGATTTTTTAATTAACTCTAACAGCTATTTTAGAAACTAGTATCACTTCTCCTGTTGCATAATGTGTTAGATAGTCGTTTTAATTATTTTTTAATGTAGTAAAATCCAGATATTCCTAAGGGTTATGTTTAAATACTATTTCTTATAAACAAAAACAACGGCAAAAACTATTCCTATGATGCATTTTTAACTGTGTTTTTTAACTGTGTATAACTAAAAAAATGTTTAACAAAAAGTTCTCAATCTCTTGCTTGTACTACTTTTGGCATACAAAGAGATAAAAAGATGTCAGTTTTATCATCATATATATATATATCTTCAGTTGTTTTCAAACAGAATGCTTAAGGTGAAAAAAATATAAATATTTACAACGAGACAGAATTTATACCAGTAATAAAAAATATTTTGTAAGTTTTATTTCAGGAAAACATCTAATCTATTTTAAGAAACATGAGATAAAATTCCAAGACATGTTTTCGTTGTTCATTTCTCACGTTTTCATTTCCAGAAAAGATTTTTCTGTTAAATCTATGTAAACTAGCATGTATAGTATAAATTTAATAAAATCTGATTTGACAGAACAAATAAAATTGTATTGTAAGAAATGTTATAATAGAAACTTCTCTCAATAGTATTAGAAAAATGGTCAATTTTAAATTTGAAGCTTTTATTTCCTTTAAAGGGTTTCACTTTTTGAAGTATTGGAAAGAAATATGAGCTTATAACGAGAGCTAAGAAATACGAATGAAATTATGCAGTTTCTATATACTTTTAAAGAAAAGAATTGAAAAGATATTTTTAAGTTAAGGAAATGTAATTTAAAACTACCACTATGGCGTTGCGTATTGTTACGTATTAATAGCAGAATAAAGATGCTTGATTTTGTCGTAAAATTTTGTGAATATGAATAAAAAGGGAAGAAAACGTAACGTACCGAAAATTTTACATCTTATTTATATAAAATAACAGGCTAGGATTTGTATGCTATTTTATTTTCATGTGTTAATATCAAAGGAAGGTAGATAAATATGACTGTTGCGTTACTGTAACTGGATGTTTGATGTACAAAGTGAGCTAACAATACCATTGCCTATAAAGCATAATTCTACAATATCGCAAACTAGAAATAAATTATCTTTATTTTCTCTAACTATTTAAGGTGATTACGTTATATGTATGATAAAATCAACGATTAGTTTAAAGAAAATTTTTAACCAAAGGTTAACATTGTTATTATTGCTAGAAATCAATTAACATAACTGTGACATAAATAAACTCTATCTCAAAAAACTAATATATATTTACCGAGCCACAATCACGAAACTAGGCAGGAATGTAGTCTGGTAGGAGATATGTAAATGATTTAAATTTAGACGCAAATGATACAAGGGTAAACGCGCTCTGCGCATAAGAAATGCGCAGCTGGGAGAGTTTAAAAGCATGATTGCTCGAGCAAGTTCTACCTTTCAGTCAAACACCATCAAATCCAGTTCTGCAATCAAAACCACAGTCCCTTTATATTGGAAACATATGCTTATCCAGCTAACACCCTGATAATTTAATTCTCTTTTCCATCTTTTCTAGTTTTGCAGACTTCTGGTCCACATCTCGAATAAGTTTCAAGTATTTTTTCTCTGACATTGCCTCGGTTTGAATATCATAAATTTTAAATCAAACTTAGAGAGTTTTTTCACCTACTTTGCCGTTTCCCTTAACTGAATTCTTGCTACTCAATTGATGAATTTTTAAAACATACATTGTAATACATATGGAACAAATGGAGCTTTGCTCCCGTTTCTCAATTCAATTTACTGTCAGTCAAGTCGTAAGGCTTGTAGAGATATTAAGATTTTTTCGAAGCAGGAGAGATGAAAAATTAAGAATGCCCATGCCGGGATTTGAACCACTGATCTCTCGAATACGCATGGAGCGTGCTGACCACTACACCATGAAGGCTGCTAAGAAGGCGAGAGAAATACCTTATAGGCTATTTAAACGAATCAGTCGACTTGGATGGACGAAACTATGACTAGAAATGCCTCTGAGAACAGTACGAACAGTTGACGGATTTTGAGAAGGGGCATATTGTAGGCCTCAGAGAAACAGGTTGGTCAAACAGACGTATCGGTCGCCACCTCGGTCGAGGCGATATGGTAGTTGTTCGGTTTTTGCAACAACAGATCACGGAAAGGAAAGTCTACCTCGCGAAGGGTCAGGGCATCTCAGGAATACAAATGGTCGCGAGGATCGCGCAATTATAAGAGCGGCCACTTTCGCACCAACGTCGCTAGCATCGATTCGACGCCATTTAGCACCGTCGATGTATCCAGCGGTATCAAGGAAGACCATTTAGAGACGACTGGCCGATGCTACTGGTACATGCTTCCGACGTCCATTAAGACGCTCACCACTGACCCCACATCATAGGCAGTAAACGACTGGATTTTTGCCGAACTTTACTGGGTTTTTGCCGAACCTTGTGATCATCAGCGATGAATCCCGATTCTGTCTCAATGCTGATGACCAACGCACACGTGTTTCTGGAGGCGTCCTGGCCAGCAGTCCGTTCTGAAATTTGTTGTCGAGCGGCATACGGCGATTACGAAAGCTGTGACAGTAATAATTGCGAAAGGTGATAATTTCTTCTATATGTTAGAGGTAAACTATACGATATTTTACATTAATTCACTTGATAACTAATTTATATGTATGTTGTATACACAATGCTTTATTAACCTAATTAAGCACGTTATATGAATATACGTTTTATATAGCATTCCCTATTATTCTCAGTTTCATGCATCAGCGAAAAATCCTACATCATATTACTCGCTGATACTGGAATACAACTCTCTGTAGCTTCTGATGATGCAAATTTAATCTATGTATTTATGATTATGTTTAGAGGAGACTTTCTTTTACATTCTTAACTTACCTCTCTCCAGTTTCTAAATGCGTGACGATGACATCCCGGATATATATTTGCGGAACATTAAACAACCTCCACGTGAGAGGATTCAGAAGAGAAGCAGTGGATCGCCACTCGAGGTCCAGCCTCAAGAGTCTTCCCATTTCTGTTGTGGAGACTAAAAACTCTACCACACCTCCGGGTACAAACTGTACGTAACTGAAATAAATAAAGCATCCTTTAACATTTTGTGCAAGCGCAGAAATTCATCTAGTCATGCATTTATGCTAAAACACTTACTGCTGTAAAAAAAAAGAAAAGAAAAAAGAAATAACTAACTAACATAAGCTTTTTTGTGAAGATCTAGTCAGCTCATAGTATCAGTTATATGTTTTCTCAAACCTATTTGATTGTTTTTTTGGCGTGTTTTATTTCAGATATTGCATTTCATAAAAATGAATTTGACAGTTAGCACTAAAGTACAAATGTACTTCACTCTTCGATGTTTGACCCTTTGAAATCTTCATTTTGAACAAATACATACGATGCAAAATTCATCCTTTTAATTGATATTTTTATGGTTTCTAAATGTATTTGTTTGTTCGCAAAGAATATTCGGATTTATATCAGCCAAACTATATCTGGTAGCTAACAGATGTATAATTAGTTCTAAAGTAGCTACAAAAAATAGACTGCAGCTGATGAAGCCTACATGGGATTTATTTTTGAAAGATTTTCAAATTTTATGAAGGGCTTTGGTCTCTAATCTGTGGAAATGGAGGGCAACTATAAGAATTAACTCTCTCCCTCAAGGGTAACACGTATTCCTAATCTTAAACGGAAATTTATTCTCATGTTTCAATATTATGCTAATCAGTAAAATATTTTATTCGCATAATGAACATTGGATTCTGTTATATATCGCTCTAAGAAAAACAGAATCTGAAATAATTCTACGACTTATTAGGGAAAAAAATTAATCATTGAAATATATCAAGAAAATTCACTTAAAGTTATAAATACAAATTTATTAATGGTTAAAACATAAATAAAAGTATACACGCGTGTCCAAAGTCCCCTTGACATGCAAGAAATTAAGGATTACGGATTACCTAAAAACTGTGACCTATAATTTTATGAATTTCAGTGGAATGGTACATAACATCATAACATATAAATACAAAAAAAATTAAGAACGCTGCATATGATTTAAAACTGTACCATGTACCATGAAACTGTAGTAGTATAGTTTCATAGTGCATGGTAAATAGTAAACCAAAAGAAAAGTAAAAAAAAGGGGGGGAAAGGATGTCTCTGTGAAAATGCTTTTTCAAGGTAGTCTCGTAAGTTCTCTATCGGTTAAGATGAAGAGATTTTGGTGGCCACTGTATTCTCTCAATGTTTTCACTTTCAGGGAACTTTCCGACGAGGTTTACTCGATGTGGACGAACATTATCGTCCGTAAGTTAAAAGGCATTTCACATATGAAAGTTTGAAAAGTCTTACATGAGGTTCTAAGACCTACTGGAATGGTACATAACATCATAACATATAAATACAAAAAAAATTAAGAGCGCTGCATATGATATAAAACTGTACCATGTACCATGAAACTGTAGTAGTATAGTTTCATGGTGCATGGTAAATAGTAAACCAAAAGAAAAGTAAAAAAAGGGGGGAAGAGGATGTCTCTGTGAAAATGCTTTTTCAAGGTAGTCTCGTAAGTTCTCTATCGGTTAAGATGAAGAGATTTTGGTGGCCACTGTATTCTCTCAATGTTTTCACTTTCAGGGAACTTTCCGACGAGTTTACTCGATGTGGACGAACATTATCGTCCGTAAATTAAAAGGCATTTCACATATGAAAGTTTGAAAGGTCTTACATGAGGTTCTAAGACCTCAACCTGATATTTCTGGCCGGTTGCAGATCTGCTGTTGAACACGTGTCCATCGATCATTATTAATCTGTATACCATCACGCCTGCATTACCGAAATGGCCCCGTTTCGTAATGGTCGGAGAAAGATTTTGTGCTTCTGATTTCCTCCAGATGTATACATTTTTAGAATCATATGTTAAACTAAACCTCGACTCATCAGTAAGGAGGACATGAGACCACTAATGTCCACTCCAGTTTTGATGTTCCTTGCACCAATTAAAGCGATTTCTCTTTTTTTGGGGGGGGAAGCTAATGAAACACATACCATTAGCTTTCTGGTAAAATGACCAAGCCTTTTGCGTACAGTCAGCTCCAGAAGCGGATGCAAGCTCTGAACGCAGCTGCATAGCAGTAGACTTCTTGTTCCACTAGCAGTTACTGACGGATATCTATCTTGAGTAGCACTTATTCGTTTACGACCTTGTCGGGACCTCCTTTCACTGTTCTGGAATTGTTTCCATAGCATAAAAACTGTCTATCTTGAAATATTTTCCCATTTTATTGCTTCGATAATTCTTTGCCATTCGGCCGATGATAATTCCGCACTTTACAGAATTTTCCAAATAATACTTCGGAACCATAACATATTATACAGTGTTTAATTTCGAACACACCGAAATTAAATACTGTATTTCAGAAATTCTTTCAGATATTTACATTGCTCAAAAAGCTTGATTCACCGTCAGATGATGTAACACCTTAATTTACATATTAAAAACCATTTGATCATTTTTGATTGGATAATGCTAATTGGGCTAGTCTTTTATACATTCCCTTAAAACCATTTATTACATCGATAGGCTATTCCATGGATTATCATTACTTTTGTGCATGTAGTGATAAATCTGGGATTGAAATGTACCTAAATTACCTATATAAAGGTGTTAGTGATTAAAATATATTAAGAAATCTACGCAAATAATAAAAATTATATAAAGAAGTGAACATTAATCTTAAAAAATATATATAAAGGTTTAAACTGTGTAAAGAAATATATGTAAATGACGAGAATATGTAAAAAATATATATATATAATGATAAATATAAAAATAATAATAATATAAAATAAAGACACAGAACAACAGAATCTGATAGTTATAAAATTGAATGATAATATTTCATTTTAAAAGTTATTAATATATGTACTCGATGAAAGCATTTTCACAGAATCACTAATGAATGTATTATTTTTAATATATAATGAGATAAAAGATGCTAGTTTTATAATGGCATGTTTAGCCTAGATGATTGTGTATATTAAGGGAACGGAAACTTTGTAAAAGTTTTATGCTTTGTAAAAGCTCGTATAATTTAACTGGATACTGCTAAGAACTTAGAAAGATGAAGATCAAGCCGCAAAAGGCGAAAAAAAGCAGTACTGTGTCAAGAGCATGGATGTTGATGCACAGTTGAATGAATAAAATTGTTGAACTTAATTGAATTCATGCCGAGTATTTGGTATAGTCGGTAGTATTAATGTCGTATTGATGATTCTCAATTCGATTTTAAGACAAGCATGAATAATTTGTGATGTTTATCCCATTTTGTGGAATAAATGTTATAGTCTGGCAGTAGATTTCACTGTTAAAGGGACACCGCTAGAGGGCGCAGAGTGAGTACTGTGTAAGAATGTGTAATTGTACGTAATGGCAATATGTTTCTGTTTCCCAGTATAAAAGCTGGGGGCTTATGTCTCAACCAAACTTAGTAAGCCACATAACATAATTTAGGATAAACAGTCTTGGATTCAGCACTCCAGTGGAATGTGCTGAATATGCCTTTCTTTTTAAAGCATGACCTTAAATAGCTAGTGCTTTCAGCCAATGATATGCAAAGATTTAGTTTTTAATCTTTATATGTAGATAAATTTAATTCACAGCTAGTACTTCTGTGCTTTAACGAAAAGTATTTTCCACTTACTGAAACAGAGAAAACCTAAGGAAAGAGAGTGTAACGGTTCATTGCTCAAGAATGATTTAAAGCAGCTCAACCTTTTGACTAACGCGTACATCTAAACAAAAATTGAAAATTTTTAGTACCACCACTACATTTCGCAATGATTACTTTTCAATTGCTCAATAGAAATATTAAAAAAAAATACATATTTTGCCATTTAAACAACTTATTGGCTATTTGAACACAAAAAATACTAGATTAAAATTTGGTTACCATTTTAATTATCAAAATTTAAGTTATAATACTTTAATTCTAAAATTTAGTGTGAAATTTGGGCCTATTTAAGAGAGATCAATTTCTTCATGTCTTGGTCTTATTTCACTCAGTTTTAATCATACATTAGGATCCACTTTTAATTTTGTTCTATTTCATTTTTCAAATAAAACATGGAAGAAAATCCTTGTTCACACAAACAGTTGTGTAAGAAGGCAATAAAAATTTATTAGCCTTATTTGAAATGCCTCTAAACTCTTTTTTTTTCGGTTCAGCCAAAAGTTAATAAATGTGTTATTTTTGAAATCCTCAATTAAGAGTTCGATCACAGAAAATTTCTTTCAATTGTTCTTTTCCTTCACGAAATTTTTAAATTTAATAATTAAAAATACTTTGTTTCTTTCCGTAACATCAATTTTTCACTTCATTCAATTGCGTACCACCGTTTGAGAATCGCTACTCTAAAAGAATTAATGAGATACTATTATCATTTTATAGGAACTTATTTTCATTTTCTATTAAATACAGCATCCATATCTATCACTCTTTTAAAAACATCATCTATAGCAAATATTGTTATATCTACGACTAAAAGAATATTTGTCAAACGTACAACATGGAAAAACCGTGAAAACTGCCATGAACACAGATTGTTCGACACTTGCTAAAGTTTATAAGCGGCTATTGACCTTGAACAAAGCTCAGATCGCATAAATTTACGAGTGTTAGAGGGAAAACTCTATGAGGATGCTGGGGTTTTGATTTTTGAATTTAATAGTTCAATATACTTTGCTTCTTTGCGTACCACCGGTTGAGAACCCCTGATTTAAAGCTAAATGAAGCGTATTCTTCAATTTATATAATGTATATATTATTAATATACCTAAGACATTTATGAAAATGACATTGCAAAATAATTATATCGTTTCATAAAACAAATATAATTTAGATTACTTGTCAATTTTTAAGTAAAGAATTCTTACTCTTTTTTAGCTTCTAAAACGGGGGACTGTGCTTTTGTGCCAGTGAGTCTAATAAAAAGTCTGCCTTTTTCTGTGATGTGCATCCTTGCTTCATCACTATAGGAACAACGCAGATGAATGTAGTAATGGTGACCTGTTAAAAAAGTGTGTAGCTATAAATCTTAAGAAAAAAAGATGGGCTTATCATCAATAAAATATTGTAATACAATCCCATCTTTTTGACGTATAAAGATTTTTTAGAATAGGATGATTATCCAATATATATATATTTTAGAAATGATTAGTATAAATAAAGATAATAGAAGTTAAATGAGAATATCACACAGCTCACAAACATCTAAAGCTCTTTGAAGGTCTTTTGTATTTTAAAACATTATAGCCAAGCTATGCTATTGAAAGTCAATTTGCTTTTCCGATTTAAAATTACAACAAAAGCAACTTACGACAAAATGGCTCTGTGTTACTCGTATGCAGAAACATCTTTACAGGTTCATCTTCAGCAAATTTCTTCCATTTGTCCGCTTTCAAGCCCATGGGTGCGCAGAGTGACACGTCTGGTCCGCATACCCAAGGACATTTGCCAACTGAGAAGTTCTCATAGTTGTCGCACACGTATCCGTAGAAAGGACAATCAGAATTCACCGATTCGGTGAAGAATTCGTAGGCCCGGATATGGTTACAGCCGATGAAACGTCGAATACCTGTCGAGGGAATGCTGTTGCGAGTTCAGTCATCAGTGCTGCAATGATTTCTTCAAACAGAGAGCATGAATTTCAACAATGCAAAAGAATTTTACCCAAATGATTGATTTTACGTTTATGTATTATTGATTTTACGTTTTAATGTGCAGCTAGTGCAAAACAACATTATTACAATCTGATGATAATGTATCTGTTACGAGTATACTGCATATTAGGAAAGAAAATTAATGTAATAAGTAGTTGCGAAGTTAATGTAATGCTAAGGTAAGGCGTTATTTCGTCTTGTCAATCTGATGTGTAGAATATAATGTAATGTGTAAACCATGTATCGCAATATATAATGTAATGTGTAGGATGTAATGATAAACGAAGTATGCACTATCTTGTTAATTTGATATGCAGTACATAATCTAATGCGTAAGCCAAGTATCGTAATATATAATGCGATCGTAATAGTGTCATATGTATCATAATATGTAATGTAATATGTAATGTAATCGTAATGGTGTCATATGTATCATAATAATGAAATAATTAATGTAATCGTAATAGTGTCATATGTATCATAATATATAATGTAATATGTAATGTAGTATGTACTGGTTAATAAGCAACATGACACACAATACAAAGCCCAATTGAAACAATGTGAATGCAAACTGTATAATAGTATTATGTATAACGATGTAGGCAGTATATCGAGTAACGGGTACAAAAGGCAGGGTGCTGATGACAATTCAATATGCATCCAGTATATAAAGCATATCATGTGTATAATTTATCCTGTATAATGCAACACCTGTGTATAACTAATTTTCCTGTGAATAATTTAACCCGCATCGTGCCTTTAACCCCCTATTGCGTATAATGTTCCTATGTATTATTAATTTCCCCGTGTATAATGTAATGCGTACCCAGTCTATAATGATAATATGCATAATGCGTATCCTGTGTCTAATGCGAATCCTGTGCAAAATAACCCTTTTATTATGTACCAATATACGGTTTATTAGGAAAGAATTTTAATGTAATAAGGTGATGTGAAGTTAATGTAATGTTAGGGTAAGGTATTAATTTGATATGTAGTAAATAATGCAATGTGTAAATCATGTATCGTAATATATAATGTAATATGAAATGTAAGATAAAGTTGGACGTGGTGCTGTACTGATTAACCCAAATGGTAAAGGGACAGTGCCCACGTCCTCCGTCGCTTATGAAAATCTAATCCTTACGAGATATTTTTTATTTTACCAAATAACGACAGCTTTCAGTCTTTGCTTATAACTTACAAGGAATTAGCGCATTATCATGTGCTGTAGTTTAGCACGCTCGAAACAACCAGGCAAAAGCACACCTAGTTTTTCGCCATTTTTTTATTCTGAAGAAACCTAATGGGTTTTATCCTGTCTAACGACGCGTGAGGTTAGGAGAAACTTTTTCGAGATACCAGTTTCTCTTATTACTACTGTATGAGGGTTCCTAGCCGAAATAATGTATCGCTAGACCTGATTTCCCGGCTAGCTAGGCGTAACCTTTAGTAATTGAAATGAGAATGATTCGCCTAAAGGTGTGTCCCTCGTAATTTTTCCTAGAACTGATTCTGTAAGTCGACTAATCAGATATCCCGAAAGCGAAAATTCGCGAAAATGTTTCTTTCGATGCTCTGTTGAGGTCAGGTAGAGATATAATGCTGGTTCAATGCCTCAACTATCTTAGTATTTGAAAGTTTTTAGTTATGAATATGCCAATATCTTATTTGATACACGTAACTGGTATCCTTACAGAAAATAAATATTTCACAACAATTCATGAAACTGCAAGCAACAGTTTGTAAAGTTCAGTAGATTAACTTTTGTGTGAAAACTGGAATAGCAGTAACTGCACAAAAGAACGGTTAAAAGGACCCTTTATTAACTCTAACTACAATGCGTCAACTCGACGCTAACAAACTACACTTCTGCTTGGGCGGTAACTGAAATCGGATAGCGAAACTAAAAGTTTGAAGATATGAACAAGTGATAAAACTAAACTACAGGGCTCAGCTAGATCTCGTTTCTAAAACCCCCGTCGAAACTAGTGGCAGCAAGTAAATGCAATTAAGCCACGTAAACCAGCAATAAGCAAAGATTTAAACTGGCAGAGGTGGAGGCTGTAGCCTAACTCTCCTCTTTCCTACCAAACTCGGTTTTTAAACTATTCCTTCAAACGCGCTACGAAATTTAAATATTCTGGCACTGACAATTAGGGGAATGAAGGCTTATAGGAAAGTTTAAAATTAAACTTTAACTTGTTAGTTAAAATAAATTCCTACAAGTTTATGAAACTCTTGTCAGTCAGTCTAACGATAAAGGATTATAAACTAACAGGGTTTTTCGCTCTGTTAGTGTCTTTGCGGCATGGGGCACTCTAAATATATAAATATATGGTAGCCGAAAGTCCTTTCGTGTGGTTTGGTGGTAGGGGAGAGGGGTGAGCGACCCTCGGACTCCCCCGCCGTGGTGCTCTCCGTCAAATATGGGGTGGGAGCAGAAATCCAACTTCCTTGAGACTCAACCATTCTTCCATGAAATTCATGGACAAGACAACAACAAATGAAAGGGAGGCGAGAAGAAGTATTTAGGATCCAATGCTTTAAGAAATACATTTCTTACTAAGCACCTGTACTCGTTTCTTACTCTTAAATTGAAGATTGATCTTAAATTGAAGAAAATTACTCGGCTTTTTATATTTCTTAGTTCTAATTTCCGAAAATATATATTAGGTTAGGCGAAGGTTTAGGTTAGGCGAAATGTAATATTTATTGCAACTGAGTTAGCGATGGATATAATTTTCTGATGCAGATAGAATACAGTTTCCGTGGATTAAATATGAAACACATATTCATAACATATTTGAAATCACTGAATTTAAACATATAACAAACACTTTTGCTTGGCTGAATTATATAATTCGTTTAATGCAGTTCAAAAATACAAAAGGAAATGAAAGGCTGTAGGTGACATGGAGTATTAAGTTTTAGGGCTTTCACACCATAAAATATTCATATTCGTAGATTTTAAAGAAAATTATAATATTTCTTTGTGAAAAAGACATTTTCTGAGAAAATCTATTGAAACGCATAGACTCCTAAGAAGAATTTTTAAATTAAGTTTACAAAGATAATTTCTTCCTAGGAATTGAAAAATTTAGGTAGAGAGCGATAAATTTTACAGAAGATCAGAGATTATAGTACACGTTCATAAAATTTGATATCATTTTAACCTTCCTTTCTTTTTCAAATTTAAACTTAGTCTAATATGGGAGAAACTGATGCTTTGTAAAATTAAGCTTACCAGCTCTTCCACTGAAACCAGGAGAACCCCGACGTTTTTATCTCATCTCCTAGTAAATCGCCAAATCCCTGGCTTTTAATTTATCATAATTTAGATCATCTCTTTAGAATGTCAAAACTAAGGCAGCAATATTATTGTAATACAGCGAAATTTAGGTTGCACAAATTCCATCAGTACCCAAGTAATTGGTCATTTTTGTGATTCTTTTCTATTACAGATATATAACGAAGTTTTGTTTCACTACTCGTGTTTTCATCGATATAAAATTTCAAAAAAAAAAAAAATATTCAATGCTTTTAATATATTTTATTATACATCAAAATTACGTTATAACTAATTTAATAATTAGAATTATGCATTATAAAGTGAAAAATATTACGGACAATTTAAAATCTTTTTTTTCTTCGTTCATAGTCATAGTTATCAGTTTAGAGAATCCTTTGAAATAGCGTCATTGTGTGGCGCAAAATTCTTTATGTTTTTCCTGTTTCAAGGATCACAGTGATACTGTACATACAACTATGAATGAAATCGCATTTTATACTCTCTTGCTTTCTTTCACATTTATCTTGTTATCATTTTTTACTATAAGTTAGTTTTAGAATTCATTGTTCTCGCAGCCTACTCAATAACTCACTCAGGTAAAAAAATAAATACAGCTGCTAAATCAATTATCTAAAAAAAAGTTTCAGATTTTAAATTAACATCCAAAGGGGCGCTTTTTTAACGTTTTCTGTGTTACCTTTATTTATTAAATATCACGTTCTTTGCACTTGCATTAATTCCTGAAAAATACTAATTAGCATTTCCACATTTATTTTAATGATATGCATTTCAATTATATTGATTATTTAGCTAGATTTCACACTTTGTTGCAGATGATCCGAAGAAGGTTTATTTTAATGACTAGCGAATTATTTTTATTAAGGCCTATCACTAGTTTCTAACAAGTCCCTAAAATATCTAAGCTATTTTTGTACTTTGTTCCCTCTACATTTAAAGAACAGATGGCATATTTATTAAAGACGGCTTAAAAGTTTGATGTATAGTAAAGATTCATGTGTATGCATTTGTGTTGTGTACGCACCATACAGTAAATCTCCTTCCTTTTCGATAGCTCCAACCACATTCTGATTACATCCAGGTTGCCTTTTACCGCCGTTGGGATAGAAGTCGACGTGCCCACAATCTTGTATCATACCTAGTCCTGAAAGAAAACAAAATATTTAAAAAAAAAAACATTGATAAAAAATACATTGATTAAAAAACATTTATTAGACTGAGTCTCCCATAAACTGTAGGGCCCACCAGCGGCCGAGCGGTAAAGTCGCTGAACACTGGGAGCTCGGTCCGAGGTTCGAATCCCGCGAACGGGCTGGCTGCATGGGTGTTTTCGTGGTTTTCACCATGTGTAACGCGTATACAAGCCAGTCTCCCTTAGAAAGTCCTCCAGGAAGGCGTCCCTTCCCTTAGGCAGATAGCCCTAGTGTGCTTTGCCATAATTAAATACGCCACACCACCCATAAGCTGTAGAGAATTTCGAAGATAAAAATAAATGTTCCAGTTTATTCTCTTCCAAGTTAAGCAAGTTCCTAGTTTGATAATTTATTATTAACATTTATAAGACAAATAAAATGTTAATTTATAATTTACTTTTCACTTAGACTCCCATTTTTGATATCAGAAAATTTCTCTATAAGAAGATAAAGATATCATACACAACAATGTAATAAGGTACAAAAAACAACCGTCCAAGTCAGGTACAAGTATGTGGGGCAAGGTACAAGGTACAAGTGGCACAAGTCAGGTACAACAACGTCCTAGACGTAATGGATAAAGCCCACACACATTATCCATCTGACCCTTTCAGGGCCCTTCAATTGGCAGTTTATTTATAATTTTAAAAAGATTACCAGAAAGGTTAGTTACAAAGGTTACAAGAAGTTTATAAAAGGGTTACACGAAATTTCTTATGGAATCTTTGTTTGCACATTATAAGAGTAGAGTTTATGGGTGACATAAGTTAAGGTTGATGGGTGACATAGGTAAGGTTTATGGGTGACATAGGCTTGTTGATATAGTTATTCGATGATGGATTTAAACCTGTTTATGTATCTTTCAGTTCTGGGATTCTCACTTGTGTATTTCTCAGTTACTGTAGAAAGTGAAGAAACTTAAGAACTACTAAGCGAATAATCGCTTAAGTTCGTGTGACAAGAAACAACAAGATGGAAGGATAACTATTTATTATTCAAATATGAATTAACAGAACTCCATCTTGGAGTGTACAATAAAAGCCTAAGAGGAGTACCTTGAACTTAAGAGGCTAAGAAATAAACTAAAACTAATCTAAAGAGATATAGGCAAAGCTATCACTATTCTAACCGAGTTGGCCCCTTAACTCTGTTTGACTACGAAGCTATCAGGGGCCTGAGTACGACCGAGCGTAATAACAGCTTTGCGAGAGAGTAGCCAAAAAGGCAGACGCGCGCAAATCAGAAACTCTGATTCCCTCTAACTCAACAAGTAGAACTTCGCGGTTAAATACCGCTCTTCCTCATTATGTATTCAGAGTGATTCTAAAACTAAGTTCTGGTCGGAAGTAGTAAGTTGAAGTTAAGAATTTGACAAGGAACTTAAAATTTAACTATTAATAAAATTAGCATAATCCTTACACAGTGATGTTCAAAGGATCTTTTTAATTTGATACCACAGCTCTTTGGGTGTCTAATGTGAAATCTTTATTTAGAGGACATGTAAAGAGGTAGTGATCAGGATCCCTTTTTTCCCCACGTATACACATGGGTGGTTAATAACTTTCTATCATTTATATATGTGGAGAAGGGAGCCATGCTCGGGAATATATTGTGAAATAAAATACACTGATATAATGGTGCTGTCACTAATCTTTGGAAAAAACTGAAATGTTCTGCGGCCTTGATCTCATTGGTTGTTGATCCCTTGTTGGTTCTTGATCCCTTGTTGGTTCTTGATCCCATTATGTTGCCCTTCTTTACATGATCATATTTTTAATTCACGCTTTAATGCGGATCTTGGCCATGGGTTTTTAGTGTTATCTCCTAGTTGTTCAAGTACAGCCTGTTTTGCTAGAATATCGGCTCCTTCATTGCTTTCACAGTCATTATCTCCTTTAGTCCATGTTATAAAGTTTTTGTTGCTATTCATTATGTTGTGTTGAATCTTGTCTGTTATTGGAGAGTTGGGATATTGATTTTTAATCGCAAACATAGAAGACTGGCTATCTACTACGACATGGATATTATTGATTGGAAGTCTTAGGAGGAAATTCATACTCTGATTGCTATATTTCTGCTTGGTGTACAAAATTGTTATTATGGAGGCCTTGCCAAGGAACTCGTAAACAAAGAACAATAATGTAATTAGACATTTCTGGTCTATTCAGACAATTCCTCGTTAAAGCGGCCTCTTCATAAGCCTCTGGAGACATCAGAAGTGTGCGCGTTATAGATTGAGCCATTGCCAGTTTTGTACGACTTGATGACGACTAAACTCGATGTCCGCTGTAACAAGAAGACACTCTATTCTTTTTAAATTTCTTTATTTTATTTATATACAGAAGCAATTTTTCTCCTACTTTAATTAAAAGCATGAATATAACATAAGCTATTTAAAAATTTCTTAACTGAAACTAATACATATATGTTTTATTATGTCTACGTTTTGATTTAAAAATGTAGGAACACTGGGTTCAGCCTGGTTATTAAAGATGAGTTTCTTTGCTCTAGTCAAGAATAATAAATAGTTAATCAATGCATTTTCAGTATGTAATAGGCATGAAATTTCCATCAGCATGATCGAAAGGAGTTTGTATTTTCTTATGAGTACGGTGACGGTGAAGATGATATCGGAAGACCTGATTTTGTTCTCATTGTGCCATCTACGTCAACCATTTCTTGTTCGAAAACGCTGCTTTCAGACTTTTAACGAAGATGCTTATTAACGGATATCACCAGTGAAAGTTGACGTATAATGCAGTTCTGCTAGTGCCTAGATTCGAACTCAGAATTTTCTAACTGTAGCATGACGAATCAAAAGGACCGTTCAGCCTCAAATATTGAGGAAACCGTGTCGTTCTTGTCATTGGATTAGTTGTATATGCTTAAATAATGTGTTTCAAAATTATTAGGTTTTAAATCTATCGATTTAAAATTATTATTCTTTCCTTATGAAGTACGTAAATGTGAGTTATTAGTTGTAAGGTGTTTGTTAATTTTATAACAATTATTTGAAATTTTGAAACCCTTTAGTTTCAGTTCTTGTTTCCCACTTATAACTCCCTACCAGAATGAGTTTTTAGAATCGCGTTGAATGCAAATGAGTTAGAAGTAGTATTTAAAGGTAGTTCAACTTACTTCAAAAGAACTACTACTATTGATTTAAAAGCCCGACTGGGGACAAGGGGCAGTCTTATTATTTTCTTTGAATGAATAAAACGATGCAACTATAAAAAATAAGAGTACTTACCACCAGTGATGATACTTCCTCCATCTGTATGAATGACGTCCACAAACTGGGCGTCAGTAGGATCCAATCTCACTTCTTCCATTGTGTATTGAAAATAAGGCTCAGCTGGATCTAATCCTATAAGAAATAGGAGCAGGAGTTTCAATTTTTCAAACAAATTTACGTAATTTTGAGCCTGCAGTTAATTAACTCAGAAATTTGTATTACGTATGTATATAATAAAAATTTAAATGATAATTATGAAAGCTGGATGATATATGAAACAGGCAGGCGTAGCCAGCTGAGCATTTCTTTGTTCTTAGTAAAACATTCCCAAAATATATATAACTATAATGACGCAAGCAATGTGCCACTGCTCCATAATTATTATCTTACTTTTCACGTATTCACATAATTGTAAATGGCAGTAGAAACTAGACAGCGGACATCGTCTCAGTAGCGGAAGGAAGTAAGAAAAATAAGAAGGTTACGATATTCACACTAGATTGATTATAACGAAATTATTGTTTCTCTTATTTTAACTGATTGATTAAAAGTTTTGATTTACCGAATTTTCATTATTATTGGATAAAAAAATGTCACTTTCATTACTGCTGTTATGTAAAAACATATGGAATGTTATAAAGAACCACATGATAGGAATTAATTTTAAAACCACTCTCTTCAGAAACAGTTATAATAACTATGTTGCTATTTTTGGGTTAGAAAGAGAAAATAATCAGTCTTGCATGAACCACAGAATATCGTGAGTGAGACATCAATGGTGGCAAGCAGCACGGAATGATGAGTTTTAGTTCAAAATACATAACTCTGATGGTAGGTCAAGAATATAAACCCAGTATGCCAGATTATAACAATGGATCCATCATGTCAGATTTTCATTATTATTGGATAAAAAAATGTCACTTTCATTACTGCTGTTATGTAAAAACATATGGAATGTTATAAAGAACCACATGATAGGAATTAATTTTAAAACCACTCTCTTCAGAAACAGTTATAATAACTATGTTGCTATTTTTGGGTTAGAAAGAGAAAATAATCAGTCTTGCATGAACCACAGAATATCGTGAGTGAGACATCAATGGTGGCAAGCAGCACGGAATGATGAGTTTTAGTTCAAAATACATAACTCTGATGGTAGGTCAAGAATATAAACCCAGTATGCCAGATTATAACAATGGATCCATCATGTCAGATTAGAACTTTAGTTGGTCACGCCAGCTCATTGAGGGTTCTTGTGATATTTTTCCTTAACAATGTAGGGAAACTTTGGTCACATTCACTGCATTGAAGTATGTAGATCTAGATTTGCTGGGAGACAGCTAGCATCCGTTCATGCTTTTCTGCCATCCTGATGGAGTGCACCGGCATCCCAACTAGTCCAGTCTCAAAACCCGTCTGTCTTCATTCTGATTCGAGAAGTATTTCACTGACTTTTCTGTGTTGCACCGACCATCGACACGCCCACATTTAAATCCATTGAACAGCTGTAGGATATAATGTAAAGAATATGCAAGCAAGTCATCCACCAGAAGCGTTCTTAACTCATTTATAGAATATTCTAGATGACGCTTGGAAGGCCATAACTCTGGAACCTTTTTAGAGACTTTTTGAATCCATGCTCCGTCTTGTGACAGCCATTATTTCTCTAAAGCTCATTGTTTCTCTAAAGCTTTATTTCTTTGGACGTAAGTTCAATTTAAAGGAATATTTCTTAGCTAATTTCCAGTCTATTTTCAAAAATAATTTAATACACATCATTTGTAAGAGAAGGGCTGTTTTTACAGTTTGAAAAGGCGAAACGTCGTATGACAGATGCTTCATCGGCCTAGCTAAGACATAAATTATAATACGTTTACGTAAAATTAATTAAAATCGGAAGAAATATTTGATGAAACAGATCAGGATTTTATTACTGAAAATTTTACTCAAGAGGAAGGAAAAGGAAACTCAAAAGGAACTGACTACTATTTTAATTAATATTTTGTTAAAAACAATGTTTCGAAATTTCGCATCAAACTTTTATTCAGATGAAAATATATGATAAATCCGTTTATACGGGAAATTAGAGTGGATTCTCATAAGACGTTTTAAAATATTGCGATATCAATAGGATTTTTCTTTCCAATGTCGATAGAAGAAACAGGAAATTTTGTTTTATTCAAAATGTTTTTAGCAAATTAGAGGACTCTGCCGCAGCCGTCGTTACTATGGTTATGAGGCAAGACAGAAGAAGTAAAATTAATCTTGAAGTGCTTATCCTAAATTAATACTAGCTTTTATAACGAGAAGGGCATTTAATTTGTTATTTTTAGGTTTGTAAAAGATTTTTCAGTTACCGTTTATTAAGCACTTTTGAGTGAAGTACAAGACTTTAAGATGAATATTTAATTAATTATTGATCATTGAGACCATAAATAGTGTTATAATTTCTATAATCACGAAGAAACTTTTAAGATTCTGCTTATGGTAATCATCATTTCAGTCGAAAGTTTAATTCACTTATAATTATTAGTTTTTTCGATAAATTAAATTTTAGGATTCGAAAATTGTTTCGTTTCTATGCCTGCGATTTTTGGAAGATAAGTCGATGCCAATTTTATGATGATGGAAATGATAATTGAAAACCCCAAATAAATAAAATCAAAAAAATTCAAATATAAAAAGGGCATGACATAATAATGTGAACTGTTTAAAATGTGAAATCTAAGTGGGGTTTCGTTAAAGTAAAATTTTTAAAACGAACTTCTCGCCTAATTTTACACACGAAAAACTTAATTAATCAAAATATTTAAATCTATCAATGAAATATTATAACTACGTTTTACAGTAATCGTGTTCTAGCAAAAAAACTAAGAGAAATGCAGTTATCTAATCGTTTTTCAGATAGTTACACATAAAATAATGAGAAAGAATCCCCCCGCTTATTTTGAGGCAGTTCGGAGGACGGACCTAGAATCTCTCAGCCCTCTTCTCTTACCACCAAACCGCTCGAAAAGGTTTTCAGATAGACAGTATTTTAAATGTTCCCGTGCCGCAGATGAACCCAAGCACATCGGTGCGGTAATCAGCGTTGGTAACCACTATGCCCAACAGTGCGATGGTTATTATAAGAAGACTGCCTTGCGATGCTCTTGACAATCCTAATACTCCTGCATTGTGTAATAAGAATTTCTCAGTCTCTTTCCAAAATAATCGTGCTAACTATTGACATATAGCAATGAAAATAACAAATATGAGTGATCATCATTATCGTTTAAAAATTACGGATGCAGTTATGAATTCCAAATCCTTCAGGCTCATCCAGAACGTCTCGTAATCCTATATGCAGCGGAATGGTCACACACATGCTAATCGCACATTAATACAACTGGCACAAAATATTTAAAGAATGAATCTACAAACTGAAAATAACTTAATAGGCAAATAAATTTTCTGAATTGAATTTACTTTAATCACAATTCATATTATTCAATAGATTTTTAACCATGAACGGTAATGCATAACGAATCATAACTTTGCAGGATTTTAGGCATTCAAACTATGTTTGATTTTGAGTTATGAAAGCCTTAGCAGAAACCAGAGCAAAAAGGTGAACAGAAACTATGTTACCAAACCAGACGGCCTAATTTAGGCAAGTACAAATTCTTACATTTAACTTTAGAAGAACAAATACAGTTTGCTTGTAAATGAAGCTATTTACGATTCAGCAAAGGCAATTATATCTTATAGAATCATCTTTTGACAACCTAAGAACAGGAAGAACTTTGACAAAAAGAAATAAACAGAGGGAGACACGGCGTGTCGTAATTTCTCCGCGCTGTTGAACTGAAGACAAAAAAAGCAGATTGCAACTTCGCTGTATCCGTGACGACAACAAATATTTAGTTTACGCATGTTTCGCTTCAGAGAAAAGAAGCATTTCAGACTGTGCCCTTTTGAATGACTGTCGAGTCCAAACAATTGCAACTTTTCATATTTGTCATATTTCTTTTCCTCATTGCCACTCTAAAAAAACGCGTAAGTTAGTTGTTGACTTATATAGTAAAGTTTCACTATAACGCGATTGCAGGTCTGATTTAAAAAAACTGAATATCCACAGTTCATCTACAAAGTTTTAGGACAAAGTTCCAACGAAATCGAAAGTTGAGGAAAACAAAATTTCTTAGCTCCTATTCTTCAACATATAGTCCTTATACACCGCCTGTTCATACAAGTGTTTTCTTTACAGAAATCATCGTTTAGAACACTATTAAAGCCTCTCATTACAGATTTGTGAATTTCTTCAATATTGCCAAAATAATGATGTTTGAAGTAGGACTTTACTTTTTGGAAGAGACAGCAATCTGCCCATGGCAAATCTATGAATAGAGGGAGATGAGTGTTGTGATACTTTTCTTTGCTAGAAAATGCTTGACGAAAATTTAATTGTGTGACGGCGAGTGAAAAGGCATTTTCACACGTAACTTCCTGAAATCTCTCCGGAATTCTGTATGTCTTTATAAAATATTAAGTTTACCATCCGTCCCTGAAGCATAAATTTGTGAATTATCCCTTTGCGATTAGGAAACATGATCATTACGCCACAGTTCTGAAGCAGAAGTTTAGTGTCCGTCATGAACAACAATCCAAGCAGATGATTAAGGTTTTATCTCAAAATTATAAGCAAAGTTTCAACTACGATCACGATTTGCTTGAAAAATGTCTGCCAATTTGAATCAAATGATGATACGTAGATATGCAGTCACCTGTCTACTTTGCAGTTGTCGAGTAAGAGACAAAGGAAGAACACATTTTTCTTTTTCCTGAGATTTTTCACAATAATTGTTTTATTTTGAATGGTAGCTCATCAGCTCTCATTCGGAGAGACTGGTGACAATTTTTCAGCAGACGGAACGTTTCCACGTTCTCACACTTTCGTCATTGCAAAGGGCGATAGTTGTTAAATTTATCATCAACATTTTCTCGTCCAACATGAAATCATGCACAGCAGCGAAAAACATTGGTTCGTGTTTAATAGATACCCAAACCCTTTAAACAGTATTTCAAACAATCCCATTCCCGTTTCCTCATTTTTACTGCAAAAATTTAATATTATTCTTTCCTCAGATTTCGAATCCATCACAGCAGATAACTAGATCAAGACAATTTCAGAAAGTGCGTAGATTAAGCGCATAAAAAATTCATCAGCAGATAATATTTTAGGAGAAGCAAGTTGAGATTTCATAGTAGTAAATCCTGTCAGCTGCTCTTTGGCAAGTTCCATAAAATCTGTTAAAAAAATCGATCCTTAAATTTTGCAAATGAACTGTGCATACCACATTTAGTCATTTTATAAAAAGATTTTTTAAACGGAAAAACGTCGCATCATTTAAATTTTTCTTCTGGAATTTCGTATGAATATTGTACGTGAAATATTAGCGACATAATTTATCCTGAGTTACCTCCATTTTTTTCTGAAAAGAATTTTTTGAATATTTATTAAAAGACACAGACCGTTATTACTGTTACGAAATGCCCAGCTGTTATAACTTTTCCGCAAAACGTGTTTAGGATTGCCAAAACGTGGCAAAGAAAGGCAGACTTGGCACGAAATCGCCCATTTGGCGATAAAATCAACGATATGCCAAAGACGGAGTGAGAATACTCTAGAACGAATTCTTATCGGTTTCCACAGAATGTTCTCAAAGACAGGTCAAAAGCTATATATATATACCCTGCCTGTACGCGGAATAGGGAGTATCTTGAGTAGTAGTAGAGTATCTTAAGTTCAGAGGTTAGCTTGAGAGCAACAGAACCGAGTTGGGAGCTGTTCTTTAGTGCTTTGTCGTGAAGCTGTCTTCACCGTTGTAGCCTGAAGGCTGTGTTGCCTGAAACCGTTGTAGTCTGAAACTGTTTACCGTAGTTTTTCGAAGGCTGTAAACGTATCTCTGGAACTGTCCTGTGTAATACTGGGGAATAAATTGCGGTTTGATTTTTCATCAAGTGTTGTCCAGATCCACGAACCCGTAGAATGAAACATTATCTTTAAGTGGATATTGGATTTTTATTCATAAAACACAGAAACCCACACTACTTTTAAGTTTATACTGCTAAAAAAGTTTTAAAGTTCAATTCGATATTTTAACTTTTGAGTTATATAAAACTATAAAAATAAAAAAATTAATTAGAAATATAATTTTATAATACTTTTACTCCATCCTTTGAGTAGTTTAGTACAGTCCCAGACTATCCGACATACTAGGAAATCATAACTGATGTTATGAATAAGTATCACTTTTACCATTACAGGCGCAATGCTGGAAAATAAATCACATAGTTTTTTTTTTAAATAACTTATTAAACCCTACAGGCTGTACTGCGGCTAGCTACAGGTTTGCGAAGGATTTTTTAATGATTTTGCCATATAAATAAGAAGAAATGGGCACATTGCTAAAATAAATAAATGGTCGCAGCAAAGAAAACACCTGCAAATGATTCAAGGATAGCAATAGACATAAATTAAATGCTGTTTAACACGAGAAAAATAAAGCAAATCTCTAATATCACTTGCAAAGTAAGTTCTGAAACAGAAAGTATTAATATAATCGCATAGTTTTGAACTGATTCAGGCAGCTAACTCTTTGAAATGATACATTGGCTCTAATGCAGCCGTACATACAAGGATCCGAGACTTCTGGACGTTTCGAGAAAACCTCTTCTAGACTTCGAAAATGCATTTTCCACAAACTTCTGAACTGTTCTAGAATCAATTCTTTTGCTACGGATCGAAACTACAAAATTCAGCATCTTCTACTACGCATTATACCTTTTTCTAAGCGATTCCCTTTCGTTAATCTTAAAGACAAAGCCTCATTTTTAAGTTTTGTAAATTAAAGTCTCGAATGAGATAATTTAAGATACACTGAACTAGAAATAATGTATATCGGGATTGAAAAAGGAACCTAAGCTGATCTCTGGTAAAGACCAATAGCATCGATAAAAATATAATCTGCAAAATGTTTTTCCAGAATGATATTCATATTGACTTGAACCACTTTGTTTTCTGAAATGCTCTGGGCACATATTATTCTTATGGATTACAGGCTCAATGGAAAGTAGCTGGTCCTGATTTTCAAAGTTTGACGCTCGGTCAAGATTTGGTGATCTGCCTACTCAAACTGAGACCAGGGCTGCTATCGAGAAATAGACACAATCTGAGCACAGTGCTCACACACTACATCGGAGCGGCTCGGAGTTGCTTTATTTGCTTGTGTTGCTATAGTTTCATGTGCTAATCAATCATATTACCACAATAACTCATTCTTATTTCATAATAATTCACCCGTACTTTGTATATATTCGTTACACCCATCGTCTTGCGACGATTTTATATAAGGACTCGGTATCTTCATACTGCACTCTGTATGAAAATACCGAGTGGTGAGCGGTGGTCTTATGGTAAGCGGAGTGTCCTGTCCTTATACGGTATTGGGTATGGGTACTCGAAATGTCATCCCATCCTCATACGGTACAAGGTGTTGCATAAGATAATCAGTATATACACCTTCATACGGATCACCTTCTAATGGTTATCCATCCTCACACGGTATCCTTGTTAACAAATTAGCTCTTATTTTTTACTTTGTTATAGCAATTTGTTTTCTGTTAATTAAATGGAATTGAGTTTACCTTAGTCGAAGCTTTCGAAGCATTTTAGTTATTTTATTATAGACAGCACAAAAATACACTTTATTCGGTTATTATTCCTTTCGTTATTATAATAAAGTAAATAAATTTTCAAGTTTTATTCCGTATAAGATCTTTTCACATGTTTCTAATTTTTCTAACATAAGCTGCTTTAACTCCAATTTCACTTCAACTTTTAAGCAAAATAATTAATTTCAGAATATCAATTTGTTTTTCTAGAAACTTATTAGGCAAGTATAATTTCTGAATAATATGAAAAGGCTAAATGCTTAAAAGATCTTAATCCTTTGCTAAATAGAGACACGAAGTCCCGTTTAATGGACTATTCATGCAAATCACTTTTCGTTGGAAGAAAACTAGATATTTTGCTTCCACTTTTCTCCTCAGAAGCATCACCTCTAAAAATATCAGCTCCTTTCATTTTTAAACTAATGTGAATCTTCTTTCTTTGTATTTCAGCATTTGATGACATAATGTATTGTTAAGTTGAGGTAATTTATGCTTCATCTCTCATCTCCTCACAGTTTATTAACTGATATCTTCCTTTATTAATGAAATACGAGTACATAAGGAAAGCAATTGAAACTAAAATAGAATTTTCAGCTACTTTATATTTAATATTATAATGAACATTTACATAATCTTAGACTAAAGAAACTGAATGATTAAAGTCTGTTTGCATGAAATTTTTTTTATTAAAGCATGACTTATCATATAATTGGTTTCTTTCGTTTTGATTTCTAATTCTTTCATGTTCAGGAAATGTTATGACCTTGTATGAGGTAAAATGGATGTATATTTTAAATATAGTGCTGAAAATGTTTTTTTACCTGTGATCCTGCCGAGTCTTTTATTAAGTCTTTCTCCTGCATATCCCGCGACATGTGCTCCTAAGCTGTGGCCAATAAGGTGCATAGAAGACAACGGTATAGCATATACATCCTGCACTCGAAAGAAGAAAATTATATCAGCTGATAATAATTAGTTAGCTAAGTACGTCTTTTATACAATTAAGGAATCTCACCAGATACGTTTAACTAAATAAGATTTTTATACACTCATTAACTTAATTACAATCAAAAATTAATAGATTACTATTACATACATAAAAATAGTATATAAAATAAGAAAGAAAACAAATGAACTATTAGTATTTCACCATTTATTAGCTCATATTATTAGCTGTTAAAACTTTGAAAACCCTTGACCCCTATCGAGATCAAACCTCGTATATCATCTCTATAGAAAAACGCTTTCAACAGTTGAGCTATCATATACCATTAACTAACTTTCGTTATTTTCCGTTTAAACATAAGGCTTGCTTTTCTAATAGATATTCGCAAATGTTTGATGCTGATGCTCTTTGTGATGTGGCAGACACGATAAATCTAGTTCATTACCTACCCATGACAGTATAACCTGATCAATTGTGTCGACTGCATCGCTCAACTATTGCTTTAAAAGTCCTGTGGAAGTGAGGTAAAAAATCTTGTCATTTACATATTCTCAATGAAATGTCACAGTGTATTATGTTTGGATGGCCTAAAGAGACAGAATAACAATGACACTTCATTGAAGTCACCGTTGTTAAATCCAAGCATACTAGAAAATGCTGAGTGAGGTTATCCCATGCGTCTCTATGCTAATATGGTGAGAACCATCATGCTTCAAAATGAAGTCAAGTACTTGTTCTTCCAACACAGACAACTAGTAGTTGGACAACATGCGCAGCTAGGTGAAAGTCCAAGAAAAATGCCCAAACATACTGTAGCTGAATATGGAGGCAGGAAACTTTTATCTTTAGAGATTCACACATCGCGTTCCAGTGTGGCATGCGGATTTTCGATACTTCAAGATCTCAAATTATGCCTGTCTACTTTGCCATATTAGAGAAACATGACACTTACACAAAGACTGTGTGAAAAATATATATTTTCATCTGGGTTTGCAAATTTTAGCATTTTTTTTAAATTTTATTTTTGGGTTTTTAATAGTTTTTAGCACCTGTACCATGTGAAATTTGTCAGGTTTGAAATATATACACTTAACTGACTCTACACTGTTGCTTGTGGCACATCAAGCTATCTGATGATATGTTATGTTGACTCGCTGAATCTTGTAAGTAAATCGCATGATTACTTTCACGATTTATTTTTGTTAATGGATAGCCATCTCGTGTTTTCAGCTTGCGTAAGCAGCCTGCATTCTTAAATTATTTCGTCCACCAAGTAACGTTGTGATAATTTGATTTGAAAACGTCTCTGATTATCAATAGTTAACGATAACGTTTTTGTGTATTCTAGCTCAACATAAGGTTTTTCTTTCTCTGATATTGCAGGTTTGAATATTAACTCCTCCAGTGAACAGTTTGCATCTGGCATATTATTGCAGAAACTTGGGAACTGATATTTCATGTTAGACTTGTATTTGCGAAATAAGTTCATTACAGTAGTGGCATTCCTTTTGTACCATTCATTTTGAATTATCCTGTTCTCCAGTTATGAGACTGGATTGACTTGAAATGAATTGAACAAATGACCAGTTAATTCGAAAACATGGATTTAAAGGTTAAAAAAATTTCTTAATATATATTTCCTATTAGTAAATAGTTCCTGAAACCTCCAGACCCTCGAAATAGGGTACCAGTGTATGCCCATTTTGCCATTCTTTGATTAACGGGCAAACCTTTGGTCCTATGAGTGTCTTTTGAAGGAAGGTGACTTTGTATATGTATGTGCTGCGGATAAATATTTATGAAGCCTTGTCTGTTTAAAAACGCAAGGAAGTTTTATTAGCATGAAAAAATTGATAAAAATATGGTGGGTCAAAATAAAACAGGTTAGAGCAAAGCGGGGTTAGAGAGAATTTACCAAATTTTGGAACTTATTAGCAGTTAAGAATACACAATATTATTCAAAGATAAATGTTACAGATTTCTTAAGTAAACTGGGTTATAGATTTATCTATTAGTGCGAACTTCTATTAATATCTGCGTCTTCATTAAGAAGCCGAATATAGAATCAAGCAGAAAGTAAGAGTATTATGATGTGCAAGTATATTCTGAATACAAATTCATTCTATGAGTTAGCAAAAAATTAGATGGTGTCAAATACACATGTTATAAACAGATCATGCGTATCGGAATGATGGCGGCAGGTTGTACACTAAAATCTCATCAGTAGCCTTCGGATGTCACAAGAGGCTAAAATGTGCTATAAATAGTAAGGCATTTGGGACTTAAGGTGTTAAATACGTATCTCAGAAAATTTTCGAAAATGTTTCCAATAACGAATTTTCTTATACCCTTAAGATTTCAATGAATTCCGCTAAGACGGCTCCCACCATCCGAGCATTAGCAACAGCTTGGGTATAAGGAGGAGCGGCGCCAAATACCCAGTCCACCGAAATTACATTGAAGTTATCTTTGGTCAATAATTCTCGAATCATATCCTGAAAAATAAAAAAATATAATATATTTTTTTAAGATGGAAATTGTTTTTGTTTTTTATGCTATTAACAACTATGCAGATTTCAGTATACAAGTAAGAAGTGTTTATGATCACCAATTAATGAAATTCTTAAGTATTAATATTATATATGCACAAATTAAAAATTTTTATTTGTTCCACAAATCTACTATGAAATTTGCATTTTATTGAAAATTTAAAATTTAGAGTCTATTCAGACATGAATGTCTCTCACAGTTATACGTATAACTTGTAGAGACATTAGGTATACTTTTGGAAGCAAGCAAGATGAAAAATAAGCAATCGCCTTCGCCGTGAATCGAACCACGGACCTCTGGAATAACGGCTCAGTGTACAGAAACCCTATACCACGGAGGCATGCGAATAAGGCGGGAGAAATACCTTATAAACTAAACGGATAACTGTGACATAGAAACGCAATTTTGAACCAGAGCAGTTTCATCAATATAAATGGGATACATTCTAATATAATAAAGAACAAAATAAAAATAAGTTTCAACTTTTTTTCAATTCGCATTCATTGGTGGCGAAACGAAAGTATTAATTTTCGTTACATATAAATATGATCTGATTGTGTTGGAGATGATCGTTTCAGTTGGCTAACTGTGGAATTTCTAAAACTAACTTACATTAAACACCTTGGAATGTCAGAGTAGTTCATAGACAGCATTCTAGTTTTGACTAATTTTTGTTCAAATAAAAGAGGTCGGATAGTTTTTAAAAGAAATGCAAAATTCATAACTAAAATAAATATATTTGGTTGAATATACCCTCAGGCAATTTGACTTCAGTGAACCGTGTAATCCGATTTCCGTTTTATGAAATTCAGAAGCTCAGTAAAATTCAGAAATGTAGTTCGAAAACAATTTCCTTGCTGTGTAAGGAATTACCGTAACATCCCGTTTACGGTGTGATGTAAGCGATTTACCATGTCCAGCTAGCAGCTGGAAAATACGCGGTTTGAAACTCGGCTAGGGCACAGTTAGTTTTTCACATTTTCTGACATCACAAAACTTAATAATCTCTAGAGTTCATTTCAAAATAAAACGGTTCAATTTCAAAAATTATATTTGCGGCAACTATTTTATTGACAGAAGGTATGATTTTAGATTTTGTTAGGTTATTGTTTGAAACTAACCAGTTATTTATAGTTTCAGCCTTTAGTACAACTTTTTCTTTTCGTTTCTTCATCAAAATGCAAATCAGTTAGATAGTATTTAAGCTGAAACTTTTGGATTGTAAAACAGAGCCTCTTTCTGCCTGTCGAGGACATGTTACTTTAGTTCTACCATTTCTGATCAGTTTGAAATTAATCGGCTCTGCTTAATGTTACCGTACGCCGTTAGAAGTTTGAGCCAACTTGGATTTAAATTGAATTGTGTAGTCTTTCACCAGTAATCTACTTTTTAAAACTTTGACTATATTTTAGTTGCATCGCCACAATTTGTATCTGAGTATGTTAGCGCGAGAAAGTCCAATTATATTCTAAGTTCTGTCAAATAAAAAGGTTTCTTTAAAGCTTTTCAAGTTTGTAGATAATTTCAGACACAGCGATAGTTTGCTTTATGCCTACCAGGAGCTTGAAACTACTTTATGCTCCTAAAGGAAGTCAAATTCTATAATTTGAAATGAAAGTTGTTAACGTTGGAATAAGTTGGTAAGTGAAGTCATGGTTACATTCCACTAAAGTTTTAAATCTGTCTTGCACTATATATATTTTAATCTTTTATGATACGAAATTATGTAAGAGAAATGTTGTAAGGAAACCGCATTAAAAAAGCTAAATTTAAATTTATTAATTAAGGCACCGTTTTACAGTCTGAGTTCGGCACAAATCGGTCATCGAAACTGCCCTTGTCATCATTTCCCCAAAAAGACAAAAAACTAAAATTAAAATTAAATGCATATACCCCCTATAGATGAAAATCTCCGATTTTGATAATTCAAAATTTACTTTTTTACCTTTTCTGATCATAAGATCCATGTTTCTTAATGCGAAATTTTGATGCTTTTAGTTCAACTTGAACTGCTCTGGCGTAGAAGGTTTCAAGCTCTCCAAGAATTAAAGGTCAGAAGTAAGGTATTATAGGTTCAAAAAATGAATTTCCTTGATATGTGAGAAAATAAGCCGAAAGTCTAGAGAATCCAACAAACTTCTGAACTAACAAGTCTTTATAATTTACTTCTTAAATTAAGCACAGAATTCTGTTCTAAGCATGTTTTTATCCGTATTTGACATAGAAGATGGAGCTAAATTTCGAACTATCACTTCGGTAAAGTTTTCCGCTCTGGCCATCGTAACATAGAAAGAAATATGATATTAAATTTGCGACATACCTCTTGCAGTTTAAAAGCAAAAAGAGCTACTTTTTTCAATGAGAAATTCCAGCAAATCCTTCTGCAAAAGCTGAAGCAAACTTTCAAAAGCAAACTTTTTGCTGCTAACCTGACAAAAACTATCTGATTGCTGATTCAGGTAATTTCTGTCATTCCATTAAACATTCTGCTATTCCGAAAGCAATACTTGAAAACTAGTGTTATTATTTCCAATACGCGTAATGATCATGTCCGCAAAAACTGCTTTCTGTAAAGGATGTTTACAGTGTTCTAGAAACTGAGCCTTATTTAAATTCCTAGAACTTACAGGCAACGACATCGACCAGAGACATATCTTGAAATGTTTATATAGCTATCTCGTACAGTATTGTTTCGAACCAATTCAATTGTTCGTCTGGTACAAGCACATTTTCCTAGAACTGTTTTTGCGACCGTGGAAGATTCGAAGAACACACTTTCTTTTGGGGAAAGAGGGTTTGAAAACTGTTTAACGTATGTGAAGAGTATTCTTTTCTCCCCCTTTGAAAACCTTTTATGGTGTGTTCGATTTGAAAATTCAACCATTCCGTCAGAAAAGAGAGAGAGAAGACACCGAATTCTTTGATGCCAGATTAAAAAAATTAGATTATCTTCGTGATACTTAATTAAATGGGTATAATGTTGAATAATTAAATTATAATATCTATGAAAATTGATGAAATTAAAAATTACATCTAAATTCCTAGAACTTTGGAAACATTACTCATATAAAATGCAGCTATTGCCATTTCACACAGTCTACGATATTTATCTTTTATTTGTAACCAGATAGCTTCACAGTTCTCGAAAAATAAAAAAGTATCTTCACAGTTCTCGAAAGATAAAAAAATATCTTTCGTGAACTAAAATGCTACCTGGATATTGTAGTTATGTCTTTTATTGCTCGAAACTGAAGTTACGACTCGAAGGTATGAAATAGAATCAGCTGCAAACTTAGGCAGCATAGGCAGCCGCCTAGAGCAGCGAATTTCAGAGGGCGTTAATATAAGTTAGTCTCACAATGAAGGTATTTTCCTTTTTGAGTTCTAAATATGCAATTCATACGGATTATCAACTGCACTGGTCATTTAGAGCAAAGATTCTACAGTTTGGGCCTGGGAGTTAACATCAATTGCTCTATGAAGCCGCTGTATGCTAACTGAAAATAATATTAATATAAATTTATTGTTATGACATTAATAAATTAAGTAAATTGACTAGAGTCTTCAAATTACATTTTTCTGGCAAGTTACTTCAAATTGAAAAAGTTTAGGCTTTATTTCTTTCTTTCTATTACGTGTAAGGTATTTCTCCCGCCTTCTTAGCAGCCTTCGTGGTGTAATGGCCAGCATACTCGGCGCGTATTCGAGAGGACCGAGGTTCGAGTCCCGGCGAGGGCACTGCTTATTTTTCACATCTCTAACTTTTAAAAATTCCTAATGTCTCTACAGTGGCGCCCAAACTAAAAACGATAGTGGATGAGGATTCTTCACCAGCGGGGTTTGGCGATTGGATCCCCTCATCCCTAGTTCGCCCTTTGAAAGGGGGAGTATATAAGGTATTTCTCCAGCCTTCTTAGCATGCCTTCATGGTGTAATGGGCAGCACACTCGAGGACCGAGGTTCGATTCTCGGCGAGGGCATTGCTCCTTTTTCACATCTCTAACTTTCAAAAATACCTAAAGTCTCTACATATGTAATGACAATGCGAAGAATGATAACAAACTGATTTAGGCTTAATATATTTCCAAGCGTTTCACAAATTTAAAGTTTATTATGCAGCAAGGAGCATGTATTTTTCTGCTGTTGTTTTTATAGTTGAATACAAATGATAATTATCAATATCAATCGATCAGTAAAAAGTGACAAAAATTTCTTGCATCAGACAAATTAGTATATTTGCAGCTGGTTGATTATCTCGTAAAAAAAAAAAAAAAAAAAAAAAAAAAAAAAAACAGCTAAATTGGTTGCCTACTTCTATCGAGCAATTTAGATAAATAATTCATGGTCGCGATAGCAAAACCATGGATCATTAACTGACAGCAATAAATAAAATGTTTCGGATTATTTCCCTTCCATTACTTAAATTTTAGCGGTTTGATGCAATAGACACATAGTATTCTGCTCCATTTTATTGCAAGCAGCAGTTATTTTATTAACCTATATAATATGCTACTAAATTCTTTCATTACCGATCACAGTAATTATCTGAATGTCTGTTATATAACTGTTATATAACTGTGTGTAAAAGGAACTTTCTTTAAGTATTGATACTAAAAGCAAAAGAAATTAAAGAAAATCATTGAGTTAATATATTCAGTGCAAAAACTTCCAATTATGAATCAAACAAATGGGTCGTTGGCTTCAAAAGATAGTAAACTCAGAAAGACGTGGCAGAAGATAATAGCACAGAAGCTGAGGATAAATTAGGCAAGAGACATTAGTCTTTGGAAGGGTGAAATAGCAAGAATTAAAATCTTATGCTCTGAGTAGGTGTAAAAAATAATTATGATGAAAGAGGAGAATAATTAACATGTTGAACACGAAACTTATTTCGCTTGTTCTGAGGATTCTCGTTTAGGAATCGACGAGGTGAACATGTTAAATATTTCTCAATAATCATCTATAGAAAAATGTTTCATTTCTTTCGAATTTTAAAAAACAAATATTTACGTGCTTTATTTCCAATACCTTTCTTAATATTTCGAATATTACTTTTGATGCTAAGCTTAGAATCTAGTTTAACATCCCACGGTAATTTTTGATTATTTTTAAACAAAATTTCATTTTAATTTGTTGGTTTTATGGTCCACATAAATACCTCTTCCATCTGAAAAGAAAAAATTCTGATGTGTACACCACATGACTTCCTTGTACGGAATATTAAATTATATGCATTTTTTTCTTGAATTTCGTTTAAATTGATTGGATTGAATTAAATCTACTTCGTCGACAGCGCATAAACCACAATAGAATAAATGTACTCTTTAAAATTCATTATATTTGTTTTACTATAAGGACACTCTGAATGCACAAAATTTATATCATTTGAAGAATTATCTTATCGTTGCCACATGTTCTATTCAAATACTATAATAAAGCTAGAACGATGTATGAAAGAAATTAAGCAAACAAAACAGAAAAAAAAACAGTTTTTCACAGACGATTTAGTATTTCTCATTCAATTAACTCAGTTCTCACTTCGCGACAAGGCAAAAACAAATAAAAACTCAAAATATCCATATTAAAAATTACGAAGTAAATCTTAAACACTTATTTGCTCGAAAACATTCCAGAAAGGATTAAGCATGATTTAATTCGCAATAATAAATGAAGGCGTTATTTTTGTTGTTGCGAAGCTTAGTCTCTCTAGATTGGCAACAAATCTACAATTCTGCTGTTTCAAATGTAAACAAATATGTCCGCCATGTTATTTAAAACTTAACCGCCTTTAAACAGCTTTTAAATTGTTGATAATTGTACAAATATTGCTTCCAGAATTACGAAAGGCATAAAAACCTTAACCGGAAGATAAGAACAATATAATTCAAATCATTTTTAAAGCAAAAATGTACAATTTACAAACATATAAGAGTAAAGAAACTGAGATCAACTGTGCCGAGTAACAGAGTGGATATATATATAAATATAGTATTTATATACGTTTGGTGCGGCCGATTGCAACCAAAATACGAGGTGCACATCTACATGTTATAGCACTCCTATATACAAAATTTCAATGTTTTGAGGCTACTCGTTTTTGAGTTATGCGAGATACGTATGTACGCACGTACGTACATACGTTCGTACAGACGGCACGAAACATTCTCTTCAGAATTAATTTTAAAGCAGTTTTATAATTTTTTTGGAGGAAACGAGTCTTTTATTCTGACCTTACGTACAGATATCACGCAAAAACATCGTTAAATTGCATTCGATAGCGGTCAAAATGGATATTTTCGTTGAAATATGCTGGCTGAAACTCGCGATTACAATGCTTCCTTTTTACTTCGTACAAGGAAGTAAAAAACACGCAGGAGTATTGTAACATATCTATTGAATCTTTTGAAAATAATTAATTTGTTTTCTTTTCCATTCATGATCTCTAGGAAATTTTTCATATGCAGCCCATCCTCCCAAGAAGTATTTTATCAGAGACCTGAGTGGAGTGGCTATTGCCTCAATTCTAGCAGCTCACCTTGGGTTCTATTCCTGTAGTTAACTAAATTGTCTACATGAGGATTTTCTTCAGTGTAATATAAATACGAGTCAATTTCTCTTTTTTCATAATTAAATAACGCAATTCATTAAAACAAATCTGAAAGGATTCAGAATTTAAAGTTGCACCAGAGGGTTTGTTAAAGTTTTTTGTGCTTTTGCTAAACATCGCATCTTAATCAATCTGCTTTCGAATTCCTTCATGCTAATACAGTATTTTTGTCGTTTTAACATTGTTATTAAGCACCGCTTTCTTCGCACTTATACCACATATAATTCAACAGCAGAAGCACAACATTTTTGAAAGCAGCATACCAGTATATGTATAGAATTTCCGATAGAGTGTTAAGTGTTGCATACATTTTTCAATTATTTTTTCAGTCTTTTCTCAGTTCGTCGTATCAATGTTCAGTTGTCTTCGTAGTATGACTTACAAAACATTTTGCGTTTTTGTAATTAATGTTTTGTTTGTTTATTTGTAAAGTATTACGTTTCCCGCACGTATACATAAAATTCAACAGCAAAATCCCAAAATATTTAAGAACAACATCGGAAATTCTTTATAATTCGCCATACAGTATTAGGAGCTGCTATACACTTTTTTATATACTCGCAATTACTATATTTTTATATACTTGTTACTATACTTTTATATACTCTGTTTGTTTAGAAAACTAGCCACTCGGGAGGCCAGCTGCCTAAAATAGTTATGTCAAAAGAAGGGAAAAAAAATTATAACGATTTAAAGAGTGTAAGCTAGTCTACTTTCATAGTAATTTTTAATATTTCTGATTAGATACCTTATGATTTTAATGCATTTTTATTTAAATCAATTACATCAAAACGTAAAAAAAAAAATATTAAGAACTATACTTATTGCTCTTAAATCACTTAGTTTGTTAATAAGTAACAAACTAACAATTTAAGCAACAAAGTAACAGTTTCTATATTATATCTGAAAGTTAAATATAGTAAGCTTTACTAAATAATAAGCTTCAATGATAAAACTGAATAATAAGCTTTTGAATAATAAATTTTACTTAATAGGAACACGCTGGACGTGGAAATTAAAAATGTTTTATTTCCCGCAGCGGCAACACATTGCTTTCTAATACCCGAGTTTTTTAAGTAAAACTGAAAGATCTATAAATATATCTCACATTCTGCCGAATGGCAACAGTCTGACGCGCTGGATATCAAGGCGGTTAAAATAGAGGGAATAGCATGACGTCACATAAGTGAAGCCAAGAAAATTTCAACAATGTGACATCACGACTTATCATGGCTGCCAAACATAATACGGATAAGACTTTGAAACATATCGTTAAATAAAATTGCACTCACTTTGAGTACAAATATCAATGTCCGAAGGTTCAGATAAGTGTATTTAAGCATAAATTTGTATAAAATGCCATCAAAACTTGGTCTTCCAAGTTTTACAAGCATATATTTGTCTCATAGTTACAATTTATACATTTTCATGTACCTAGATTTTAATTAAATTTGAAATTGTTATAAAGACAACACCGATTAGAACGTAAACAAAACCGACCAGAAGTCCGCTTTTGGCAGCGGCCATGATAAGTCATGACGTCATATTGTGACGTATCATGGTTTCATTTCCATTGCACGAAACATATAGAGATTTACTTCATTTATTCTATTCCCCTTAATGGAGATAAAAATGTTTTATTTCGAACAGTGTGCCACGGTTCGCTTTCAAATCGCTGAGTCTGTTAATCAAAAATTCATTAAATTTATACAAAATATGAAATAAGAGAAAAACAAATTCAAATTTCGGGCTTCGAGGTGCCCATGTTCGGAGGGAGAACTGAGTTTATTAAAGATTTGGCAGTTCTAGATACCATCGTTTTTCCACAAGGGGAGAAACATGCATGCGTGCATACATACATACAGATAGAACTTCAATATTTATAAATAACGCATGGCAATAACATATGACAGCAATAATATGAAAAATTATTCGGACACAAAAGTGATACAGATAAAATGTGACTTTTGAGATTATTAGCATCTCTGGCGATAAAAAAATTTTCTTACCTGTATCCATTTTTGATGTCCATGCTCAAGGTAACCATGAATTATGAATTTTACTCCTTGCTTTGGATTCAAATTTTGTTGGGTGAAACTTTCATTACTCTCTGGGCGTAGTTTGTTAAACAAATCTGGATTCCTCCGCGTCTTCAGGAAAAATTTCACATCTAAAACATCTGGATGCAAAGGGAAGAGGTTCACCGGCCGGTAGATGGACAAGAATGGTTCGCCAATAGAAAAACAACCCCATCGTCCATAGCATCGTTGAAGAAGAAGATCTGTTGATGAACAAAATTAATAAGCATTTGAACTAGAAATTAATTTTAAATTTACGAATCATACATCCTTGAAACATAGCGACTTGTTTAAATGCATTTGTGTTGTTGCTTTGTTTTGGTGTCATAGAGAAACATTTGCTTAGACATTTTAAAAAATTATTACACATTCTGAAATCTGCATGCTAAGAATAATATAATTTATTATTGGCTATATTTTTATATATAAAATTCAAAACCTTTTTCGTATATATCTAAGACGCTTTAATATACATTGGAGTTCTGTTGTTGATACAGAGAATGTCAACAACTTGTCTGCCTGATTCTACCTGTTACGAATATGTTTGCGGCACATTGTTAATTGAAATACAAGTTTTATCGGGCTAAGCTTTCCAGATTATGCACCACTATGGCATACATGGTCAGTAGACAGACTAGGTTAGGCTCTTCCTATTAGTACACCACTTGACTTAAAATGTGGAATAAACACGAAGACACAAAAGGAATGGGAACAGTTGTTTTAGAGCAGACTGTCAGCCAGTGACGTAATGCACTCGAAGATTTCTGGTCGGGAGGAGCAAACCTTTTAGTATATTAACATTGGTAGCATCTATGACAAATTTTTGTTGGAAAATGCCAGGCAAGTTATCACTCGACGATTTGGAGAACTATGCAATTAATTTTGTTCTTCTTTCCAACTGTTCTGCGTGATCATTCCAAAATGTACGGACATCATTAGTAAAGTAAAAAGGAATCCTCTCTTACTGTAATTATTCCATTTGGAATTCTTGAACCCTCGATATTACGAAAATACGTTTGTAAAAATACAAACGTGCCCAATAATTTTAATTCAAACGTAGAGGCTCTCTCATAAGTACTCACGAGTGATGAAATAAAATAAATTTAAATTGTTTTAATTCTGTGTCTGTTTGTTTGTTGGTTAGATATTTTAGTGATGATAATGCACCTCACAGAACAGATGTAATAATCCATACTGTATTACTATAGCTTAGTTGGAACCCAGGACAAGTGTTGCAAAGTTTACTCGGTATAGAGAACCGTTATCACCAATGGAAAGTCAGATCCACATCCACCTCCTAAACATGCGACATGCGACGGAGGACGTGGGCACCATCCCTCTACCATTAGGGTTAATTGGTATAGCGCCACGTCCACCTGTGTCTAGTGAAACGTGCCAAGGTCACTGAGTCCACAAAAACGCCTCGCACCGACCACTGAAACCCAGCGTCTGATGCAGGCCACATTGCATCAGCTATACCCTTGCGGCCACTGGGAAATTATTTTACAAATATTGTAGAAAATGGCATGGCTAAACAAGGGTCATCACTGCTGCTGCAGGCTGAATTATCAGACATTAGTATGCACAAGTTTGCTGAATTATATACCAGATTACTAAATTATATATTGGAGTACAATATGGTATAGAATCATGTAATGCATAGTAAGATTATGCTAATGCTCAAAATACATATTGAAACAGGAAGTATTATACATATTGAATTATGACACTTACTGTATCTGAACATACTAAGATATGATATACATAATGAGGTTATACAGATACTTCTGAGACTTGAAATACATGGTGAAACATTAAATACTGTACATACTGAAACATGAGCATACTATGACTGAGCATATTGAAACATGAAATATATAGTGAGATATTACTGATTACGCTAATTACACGAGATACCTGATGAAACATGAAATACTGTACGTACTGAGACAAAAAACATACTATAACAGAGCATACCGGAACGTGAAATGCATGGTAAGATTATACTGATATAAGATACTGAATTATATACAGGATTGCTGCATTATATACAAGAGAGATATTTGTATAACAAACATAGAAGGCATAGTGAGATTGTACTGAGACTTGAAAAACATGTTGGAACAGGAAATGCTGAACATACTGAAACATATAACATACTATAATTGTACATTCTAATACGTGAAATACATAATGTACTGCTACAAAGTACTGAATTATATACGGAATACTTAATTATATCCAGGAGAGATATACATATGTCAATATTGAATTGTATAGAAAGGTTATACTGGTGCTTGAGGTACATAGTAAAGCACATTGTATCTGAGCATTCTGAAACACGAGGGTAACATAATGAGGATATACTGAAATAAGATACTGATACTAATACTTATGTTATACTGATATTTGAAAGACAGAGAAACATGGGAAACTGAACATACTGAAACATGAAACATGCTGTTACTGAATAAAATGTGACATGAAGTACCTTGTGAGTTTATACTGATGCAAGATGCTAAATTAGATACCGGATTACTGAGTTATACAAGAAGGATATATGAATTACAAATTTGAAATACATAGTAAGGTAATTGATACATAGAAAGGGTGACATTATGCTGATATAAGATAATAAATTATATACAGGATTACTGAATTAAATATGGGAGAGAAATACGTATTATAAGGTTAAATACGTAGCAAGATATGCAGACAGACGCTACAAGAATACATAAACAAAACAGTTCACTTGGTGACAGGATATAGGAGTGTGTAATAATGGCGTATATATAATTACAGACTTGAGATGCATAGTGCGGTGATATTGAAACATAGAGAGGGTGAGATTATACTGATACGAGATAGTGAGTTATATACATGATTATTGAATTAAATACCGGGGGGAAATACGCATTGCAAATTTAATACGTATAGTGAAATTGCAGACTGGCGTTACAAAAATACGAAGATAACAGTGCATTGGTGGCAGAATATAGGAGTACATAAAGCATACATTTGGTATTTCATGTGTACATATGATGCTGCTGACTGTGATTACAGATGCTGCCATTACTGCGTTTTATGAAGACAAAGTACTTGTATACTACTGCTGCATACATAATAAGTTAGAGCCATTCATATGTGCAGTTACAATTATATAATGCTGCCAGTGAGCTCCCTTAGCTGGTATGGGAATGTTGTATGATGCACTAAGTACTCTTAAATGGTTTACACTTGGCATAGGTTTGTTCCTAAGCCCATAAGCTTGTCAACAATTTTTGTAATGCTGCGTTTGAGATGTCGCTGCTTAATTATGAACCTGCTGAAGGCTATCTGTTTGTCTCTGGGAACGGATGTGTAGATCCTCCGTTAGTGAGCATTTTTCGACATAGTGTTCTGGCGTTCCCAGTTCACCGCAGCAACATAAGGAGGTAGTCGTCTTGCCGAATCTTTCAAAGTAGACTGGGAACGGGCCATGCCCGGTAATATAGTAGACCAGTTGTGGATTTACTATAAGACGTTCTGGATCAACCTTTGGCAGATGCGCATACGCACGACGTCCTGTCTCATCGTTGTTCCATGCCTCTTGCCACAGTGTGAAAGCGACCTGTTTCAAGCTCTTTTTTTAGATATGAGGTGGGCCATGGAATTTGCAGTGTCTCTGCATCATTATTTTGGGCTGCTTCTTTTGCGAGCCGATCTGCGGCCTCATTCCCAAGGTTGCCAATATGCGCTTTTGTCCATTCTAGGTTGATTTTTAAGGTCTTGTGAAAAGAGAGTTGTTCTTGAATTGCTGCAATTATGGGGGAGCCGTGCATAGGATTTAATATAGCATATAATGCTGACAGACTGTCTGTTTATTATAAAACTGTTTTGATGTCGATATTGGGTAATAGTGTTTATTGCGTGATAAATGGCTGCGGCTTCGCTTTGAAAAACACTGTTTTTCTGGATTCCAAGTGTCCTTTCCATTGGCGTTTGGTTGCTGTTGCCGAAATGCGATGTATGCACAGCCAACATTCTCGTCAGTTTTTGAGCCATCTGTGTAGAATACGATATCATTGTCCGTAGCTCTTGTGTTTTGCTTAATATTAATGTGCACGCCTTGGCCTTGCGTCGACGGGTGTGTGTGGAGGCGATTGGACTTCCGTTCTAGGTTATCTGCCGTAAAAGTATGGTCACCAAACACCGCAGGGCGGCTAAGCTGCTAAGCTGCTTCACCAATTGGTAGGCTGCCTCTTTTTCCACATTTATGTAAAGAGGGGGCAATCCGGCCAGGACATTGAGTGCATTCGTTGGAGATGTTCTAAAAGCTTTAGTAATGTTGAGCAGAAACGGCCTTTGTATACTCTGTAGATATTTTATTTTGCGTCCTTGCATCGGAGAGGCCCATATTGCAGCTCCGTATGTTACTATTTTCTCAGTGACTGTCATATACAGGGTCTTGAGTAAATGGGGGTTAAGTCCCCATCTGTAACCATTCATCAACTTGAGCTTGATGGCAATCTGTGCTGTTCGTTTCCTAAGCTCCAGCACGTGAGGGATCCAATTTAGTTTATCAACAAAAGTTATGCCCAGGTACTTTAGTTCTCGCTTAATGCGGAGTCTTTGGCCGTTGAGCGTTATTCTTGGTTGGCGTGCGAGTGTGCCCCCTTTTTTAGGAATCAGCAGTATTTGAGATTTTGTTTCAGCTATTTGGAGTTTTATTGCTGTGCATCGCTCCTGGAAGAGGTTGCAGGATTCCTGGGAATTTGCTTGCAGCTGTTCCCTGGTGTTTTTTTTCACAATTAGAGCTGTATCGTCCGCGTATGCAATTATTTTTGTGTGTTCCGGCCACGGCTGTGTGAGTATGATGTTGTACGTTACGTTCCATAGAAACGGCCCTGCGCAGGAACCTTGCGGAATCCTTGGGTTTGGTCTTGCTGGATGACACCGCTGTTATGCGGTAGAATCAATTTTCGCTCTGAAAGGTAACTCTCCAGGGTGTGGTAAATATTCCGTGGACATTTTGCCTCTCTCAGGGCATGTTGAATGGCCGGCCACCACAGAGTGTCAAAGGCACTCTTTAGATCTAATGATATGAAATGCTGTGTGGTGGCCGGTAAATTTGTTCTCTAAAATGCTCTCCTTGACTTCCATGAGTGCGTGGATTGTTGATCTTCCTGCTCTAAATCCGTATTGGTTTCCACTTAAGTATTTG